CATAAGTGTTCTTATATCCTGAGGAATAGAAGACCTGTGGAAGGCAGAAGTTTCCTACTAAAGAGAGAAAAATGCCTTTGCTTACTATTCTGTCTCACGCTGCTTCCAAAAGGATGCAGAGCTTCTCCCAGAACACCAAAGAAAATTCAAAAGCTTCTAAAATATTTTAAACAACTGAACTGTTTGGAACAATATTAAAATTTTACACTGCACGAGTTTAGGAGGCAAATTTTGTACTAGATAATTTTCAGCAGAAGTGATATTTGGTCTAAAGAGCAGTGAGTATCCATGATCTTAGAAAACTTTGATGTCTACAGATTCTGTTTATCCTGCTGCTGATGCTCACCTTACAGTTGTTGTGGTTGCAACATAGGAAAATTCCCTATCAATGTACGTGCAGATGTGCACGCCGTTCATTTTGCTGAGCTAAGTGTGACCCAGAAGTGCAGTGCAGCAGTCATTGCTCAAGTCAGTTTTTTAGAAAAACCTCAAAAGCAACATTTGCTCCTTTTGATGAACCCAGTGGTTTGTCGTCATGAGGATGACAGCTGCCCCGGAACCTGCTTTAGACTTTTGAAGTTTCTAATACACACATATGTACATTTTCTTATCCTATTTAAATGGACAGCTCAGTATCAACCAATTAAGTTTCTGTTCGTCCTGGGTTTGCTTTTTCACAGCACCATCACCTCCCTATCGAAAGTATCAGGATCCTGTAGTCTGTACTAAAAAGGTTATGAAACCAAATCATTCTGTAATTATTTTCAGTAATTATAATCTAACAGTGGTAAATGGCAGGATTTTATTAAGTTAGCCTAGCTTTCTTTCTCATTTCATTTGTTTTTATAGAGCTCTCATTTTAAATTTGAAAGTGAGTATTAAGGTTTAGTAGTACTGGTTTTTCAGCATGCTATTAAGTAGCATCCATTTTTCATTCAGTTTACAGCAGCAGTTTCTTGGGGTTTTAAACAGCTGTGTAGAATGTTTCCTATTATTGAACTAGCCTATTCTTTCTGCTCAACATTAAGCAGTTCATTGAAGTGGATTTTTATAATATACTGGTTTTGAGCTAGGGCTATGAAGATCCAATTCTTACACTTGTAATCTACGTGCTTCAACTTCCAAGGGAGGAGAAAAAAACTTTGGGGTGATCAGAAAAGGGTGGTGGTTTTTAACCAGAGCTTCTAAGTCTGTCAGTTTGTCTGTAAGAGCACTTGTGCGCTAATTAAACATGCAGCCTCACATTCTGATATCAAGAGGCTATGATTTGTCCATTATCACATAGAGAGTAGGAAACAAAAACCTCAAGAAGCTTGTTTTGTTAGAAAAAAAAAATGTGTCTCAGGAAAAAAATTATTATGAAGGTCACTGATAATGCACAGAGTGCTGGCAGTGCATGGCTGCTGCATAAGAAAAGCTCGCATATTATGTTTTGTCTGCAATTTTGGTAAGCATACTGTTGCAAGTTATGTTTGCTATTTGTTGACATTCAATGGCTTTACCAGTGTTTTTGTACTTTCTTGCACTGTGCTCAGGAAGTGAAATAGAGGGGAAAAGAAAATCTGAAATTGTTGTCCACCATCAAGACCCTGCTTAGCAAAATTTAGGGAAGATGTTTAATGTTCAGTTTCAAGAAACTGTTCTGTTCTGAATATATTTATGAGTGCATATAAATAATGAAGGATTTTTCTTGCTTATCAATCTCAGCAAAGTAATTTTCATTCAAAACATTGTTTGCTGAAGGGAAGAAGGAAGAAATATACACATTTTTTATTATCTCTTGACACTGTAGAGTACTTAATTGCAGGCTGTATAAAATAGCTAAGGTGATATTTCAAAACTAATGAAAGAAACAAGCTGTATCTTTGGTGGGAGATTGGTCGTATTTTTCCCTGTTCGGTCAGTGTTCTGTATGTTAACACCAGCATAACACATTTGGTGGGCTGACCTTGGCTAAGGGCCAGACTCCTACCAGCTGCTCACTCGCGCTCTCTCTTCATCAGAGCAAGGGAAGAAAATAGGATGAAAAAGTTCACAGGTCAAGGTAAATATATAAAAACTGCTTACCAGTTACCATCATAGGTAAAACAGACCTAACTTGGGGGAAAAGAGTTGAATTTATTGTTAGTTCACATAGATTTGGGTAGTAGGAAGCAAAGACAAAAATTAACACCACCACCTCTACTCCCTGGGCACTCCCTTGCTCCTGACTCCCTTAACCTCAATCCCAGGGTGGTGTAAGGGGATGGGGAATTGGGGTCTGCAGTCAGTCCGTAACAGCCCTTCTCTGCCACACCTTCATTCTCACACAGTGCCCCTCCTGTGTGTGTCCTCCAGGGAATGTCCACCTGCTCCAGCATGGGGTCCTCCTTGAGCTGACGGGTGGATACCTGCTCCACCATGACCTCTGTAGGGGCTGCATGTCAATGTCTGCTGGGGAACCTGTAGCACCTCTTCCTGTTCCTCGTGCTCTCACCTCGGTGCTCACTGGCTGTTTCTCACACTTTTCCCCATATTCCTCACTGCTGGGCAATGTTTTTCCCTTTCTTGCCCTTTACCTGAGGCACCACCATCTTGACTGCTGTGCTGAGCAGTACCCCTGCAGTGAGTCCATTGGAACCACCAGTGTTCAGCATGGGGCAGTCCCAGCCTCCCCTCAGAGGGAACACTCCTGCAGTACACACACACACACACACACTTGCCAGCATCTTGATATCTAAACACCTACACCAAATAATGCTATTGTATTCCTTATGTAGTATGTATTGCTGCTAAATATGCTATTTTACACCATAGGAGGAAATGTAGAATGGACAATTGCTTGCAAGGGCACGTTTTCATCAGAACAGGATGTTCTGTAGATTGGCCTTTACTGTACTGCAAGTGCCCAGCAGACTTAAATGCACTGCAAAAGAACCCTCAAAACCAAACCCCAAACCTTTAAGTCTACTTCTCACAGCACATAGTCACTTTTAACCATGTTTGTCTCTCTATTTGTTTACTTAAAATACAGAGAAGGTCCTGAGCTGAGAAGAAGGACACATAATTCTTGGAAATACACAGTCAAATTAGGTATCATGTGATACATAGGATTCTTAGTGTCATTAGCTACATGATCCAGATGACCGTGTATCTCCCTGAATTTTAATGCCTCTTTTAAATAGCTTGCTTTGTCCCTGTGATATCTTGCCTTCTAGCTATTTTTGCTTTTTGTCTTGAAAAATTGCTTTTCTCTAGACTTCCCAGGTTCCATAAGAGCAATTGGAAAGCCTCATAGGAAGGCAGAATCTTCAGAGTATATGTGATTTTTCCATTCATATGGATGAAAAATATTTAAACATTTATTACCAAAAATGTTTGGGGTCTTTAATGTGTAAGGTTACACCTGCTCCAAAATTGCTAATGGGTACCTCTGCACCCAAATGCCAGGAAGTTTAGCACTGAGATAAACAAGACTTGGGTAAGCCAGACTGCTCTGTGCTGTTACATGGTATCTTCTGTACTAAAGATTTCCAGAATGCAGTATGCATACCACTAATGTCATATGAGTAGTGTAAGTGGTATATGAATAATGTTTGAAGAGGCAGGTGTTGCTGCTTACATACATGCAGAGCCTGATACAGAGCTGGAAATGTTGATGCTTTTGTTGTCATAAATGATGGTATTTTGGTGTGGGGAAGTTAGGAAATGCCTTCTGTCAATTTATTACTCCTTGTAGATGCAAAAAGGAGTAAGGACTAGTTAACGCGGCACAGTCAGATCATATTCCTGCATTAGCTGATATTAACAAAGGATGGTCTTTACTGAGTAAGCTTCTACCAGGAAAGTGTTTCCTAGGTGTTTGTTACTAGAGCTGTGACTTAGCTAACTCACATGCAAATGGTGTGCAGGACAGGCTAGAGTAGTTTAGCAAGAGTTGCTTTACCCGACAAGACTGAATTAAATAAGTTCCCTGTGAACACCTCAGGTTTTCCAGACTTAATTGCAAACTCTCCTAGACAAAACAAAGGTGCTGAAAGCCTTGAATGGAGCCTCTGAATTCCACTGTAGAATCAGTAAGGAAGAATAATTTATGAAGATGGTACAAGCAGTAACAGTTTACTACAGTTAAGGTTTGTTCTTCTGTTGGTACTTGGTGGAACCAGAGTAGTCTAAATAGGGCAGTGTTTGTACATGTCACTGATGCCTTGAGCATTCAGACTTAATTTGTACAAATCCTTTGCAGTGGAAACAAACCTCTTTACAATGGGAAACATTTATAGGGAGAAGTGAAATATTTGTTGCCCTTTTTTTTTTTTTGGCTTAATGTGTTACACAGAAGTTGAATGAAGTAATTTTAATCAGTTTACCCACTCAAAAAAATTGTCTGTACTAAATACATTTTTTTTCTATGGTGTACGTTCATTACCAATCTAGAATCAGTACTGTCCCAGAACCATTACTGTGTGGCACTCATTGAAAGCACCCTGTGAAACAAGTTAGGGTTATCTTCTTATCTGTAGTAAGACATTGCCTTCTTCAAATAAATGAACAACATATTTGCTAGCATTTTGCATTGGCTGCGCTGGCTAAAGCTTGGGCAAAGCATCAGACCAGTCTATGCTCTTTCCAGTTAGAAGCAGCTCTACAGTGTCTTTGTACATCCTCTCTGGATAAACAATGCCTGTTTCAAAGGTTGTCCAAATTGATATTTTTACCTTTATATGTCATGTTTCACTTAATAATGCTCTTATGTAAGTCTAATTTCACAGTCTGCAGGGCAGGATAAAATACTCCTTAATTTATAAAAATATAAATCAAGCAAAGGGAAACAACTGATTTGTCTTACTGGATATATTTAATAAATACTAAACTTAAGGAAAAAGGATTTTGTTAACAGCTTAACCCACAAACAAAACTTATAAAAACTGTTTTCATTTTTAGTTTAATGCAGCAATATTCTTTGTTGCCATATTTGACACACTTCACTTTGACTCAATTTTGTTTTTATTTCCATTTAGGACGTGTAGGAACACCTCATTTTATGGCCCCAGAAGTGGTAAAAAGGGAACCTTATGGGAAGCCTGTAGATGTTTGGGGTTGTGGCGTGATCCTTTTTATCCTGCTAAGCGGTTGTTTGCCTTTTTATGGAACCAAGGAAAGATTATTTGAAGGCATTATTAAAGGAAAATACAAGGTAAATGACAGTATACCTGAATCCTTTTCCAGTGATTTTTGCTGGTAAAATTTCTGGCAGTTGATTTTTGTATTTAGCCTCATGTAATTTGAAGCTTATAGAAATCTGTGTTACACAGGAAGAAAAATGATTTTCTGTCTCCAGTCTGTCTTGTTCCTGCTGTGCTTTGTATTAATGTTGGTAATTAGAATATGCGACTATTTATTCAGATGAAATAATAAATGGGTGCAACAACTACACTCTAATTGTACATTTAGCTCAGTAGGATTGTGTAAGGTTTAGCTGTGTAGTATAATGTACTGTATGTTTCCTTGGGTTTATAGGTAATTTAAATTTATTAATCAACTGAAAGAACTATCATAAAGGCTGGTCATCATATTGTCTTGATGTAAAACAAAATGCATGTTACTGTAAATACGTAGTTACACATTTTTCTTTATATTACAGTATGTAGTAAAGTGCTGATGATGATTCAAAAGGATCCACTTAGAACTGAAAGCAGATTGGTGTGCATGCAAGATATGCATGTTTCACAATACAAGTATCCTAGAGCCATTGTGGAGGCAAATTTAAAGCTTTGACTTCACTGTTTTTGTGGTTTTGTCAAAGACCAGTATGCAACTGAGGTCATACATGAGTTGTGTATTAGCAAATTAAGAGTCGAAACTCCTAAAACTGCCTGATAGCCTGTAGTATGGTTTAGAAAGTATTTTATTATATGAACTTAACAGTATTCTGCTAGAATATAAGTGACAGCAGTGGTACTGCACTGGGTCAGGAATTTTGTATTCCTAGAAACAGCAGGATTTCTTCAGGGCACAAGCTTTGGAATTGCTTAGAGTGGTAAGATGTTCAGTTTCACTTTATGGAAGTTTTCTTTATGAAATCTCTTAAACAGCTAAAAACTTCTGGAAGTGTATGAGTTAACTTTTCTTTGTTAAAAAAAAAAATAGACTTGGACAGTACATTGTGTCTTCTCAGTTCCTTCTCTGTTCCTGTTTCCACAATGATATGTCTATTCAGTGAAAATAACTACAAGGATTTTAAAACCATCTTGCTGCAAATTTGCAATTATCTTCCTTCCATTAGGGCTAATTTTCTTTAGTATGGTTTTATCGGATGAGATGTTCCTGCCTATGGCAGGGGAGTTGGAACTAGATGATCTTAAGGTCCTTTCCAACTCTTAACTATTCTGTGATTCTATGATCTTAACTAGTTGGACACAAACCTGCATATGCACAAGATGAAGAAGTATTCAAACTCATCCTTCGCATTGTTGTCTCCTCAAGATACAGTTCTGTTCTAACAAGAATTGCAATTTCTTGTATTGTTGATCACATGTTAGTAGGCTTTCCTGCCTTAGTGGCTGAAGATCCTTAACTATTGTAAAGTTGAATGTATTGGTAAGAGATATAGTCCATGACACCTCTGGAACAGGAACAGAGGAGTCCTTAACAGGCATTAGCTTACTCCCCTCATACTCAGAATCACTGGCATGAAATTGTGGTTTGACCTAGACTGACTATCATGCCGTTCCTTGTAGTGATTTCAGGAGTAGACTTAATTTCTACATTTATCATATGCATAGGTAACTTTTTCTATTTTTTCTTTTTCTAATGAAGGGTCACTTTTATCTGAACAAAACGTAGCATAGGTAGAAAATGTGCAGTGATTATAACACAATACCAAGGATATACCAGCTTTTATGTGATACAGAGCTCACTGTTTTCAATTTTGTATGTCATTTCAATAGCTACTAATGTATGATTTTGTACATTATTACAAATCTTAGAAACTTCTTTTTACATTTATTATAATAAAATGTTTACAGGTTCCAACCACTGTTTAATCTATGCAATTACTTTACATAAAAAGTAGGTTCTATTCTATATTGTTATTATTAATTTAATTTCATTTTTTCTTGCTTGTAATCAGATGAATCCTAGGCAGTGGAGCCATATTTCTGAAAGTGCCAAAGATCTGGTACGTCGCATGCTTATGCTGGATCCAGCGGAAAGGATAACAGTATATGAAGCGCTGAATCATCCCTGGTTAAAGGTAGTAAAAGCAGTTGTTGACATGCCAGTTTCCTCTGCAAGGGAGAAAATGATTTATTTCTTTGAACTTTTCATAGTAGATGTGACATTGTAGGAAATGTGTCATAATGTGCTTTAAATACTTTATACAATTAGAGCCTGAGCTTTTGATAATTGCTAGACTTGAACTCTTGCTTAACAGCAATAGCAAACTCACTTAGGCATCTTTAGCAGCATCAGAGTATAGACATTGAAATGGGAAATGACAGGTGTGTTGCACATTTAAAAAGTGGCTATTACCGGTTCAGAGCATTTCATTTTCTGTGGCAGAAACTGAAGGATTAACTATTTTTCTTTGTTAACCTCTTTATTTTCTATAGTGTGAGCCCAGGGTGGAGAATCAGAATATCAATAACTTAAACAGGGCACTTATTTGGAAAGGGTGGTATTCTGATGTCTGCTTCTGAACTGTATATAAAGTTATACAGTAGACAAATATTCACGCACACACACAAAAGACCACAAAAAAAAGAACAGGGGAAGCACAGGCTCATCTGTTCTTCTTCCGAGTAAATGATCTATCAGCAAATGGAATACATTTCTCAGCTGTCTTTCTGGCTCTAAATCTTGTATTCCAAGCTGCAGAATGGTCTAGCTTATAAAAGGAGGGCAGGAGTGTGCAGCTCTTGGGAATAACAGTGGTTAAGACACTCTTCTGAATATTGGGAAACTGGGGGTTGGAACTTATCCAGTTGAAAGGAGCCGATGTCATCAGCCATTGAGCTTGTACTTCCTCCTCTGTTAGACATGTACCCCATCTCCCAAGCTTACCTGAAGTACCAAGCACCCCTTAAAAGAGTGCTTGAACACGTTGCTTTTCTGGGAGTAGCAGAACTACTACTTCATGTTTGCCCCCTTCAGACTTCAATGCTAGCCACAGACTGACTAAAACTACAACAGTAAAACAAAAGGGTAGGGTCTTACTGCAAAGTGGGAAATAAAATTACAAAAATAAAATACTCCTGGCCCCAATTAAGAATTCTTTCCAAATATTTTAATCTCTCTCAATTTCTTGACATTTTCATGCAGTTTCAATTACTCTTCATTCTCCTTAGGATGCTTATAAGCTGGTACATTTCTTCTCTAGTTTCCTAATGCAGTGAGAATATTAAGAGATTATTTTTAATGTTTCTTTTGTTTTGGTTGAGGTTTTTTGTGTTTTTATTTTCTGAAGGAGAGAGATCGCTATGCATACAAGATTCACCTTCCAGAAACAGTAGAACAATTGAGAAAATTCAATGCAAGACGAAAACTAAAGGTAAAGTGAATGTACTGCTAAAACAATATAATCAGAGAAGTTACATTTTGTGTGATACTTTATTCATTTTAAATGTGCTAAGAGAAATCTATACTCTGAAATCAGCAATAAAATAGCAAATTGAAACAGAGTTCACAGCTGTTTATTGCAGTGTCCTGCAGAGGGTGTTCATCCTGTCTTAATGCATAGATTTCAAACTAAATTTCAGCGCAAATTGTCAGATATCAACCCAGGTGTGTTTGAGGTCTTCCTTTAAAATTAATTCAGTAATACTATGTAATATGAATTATTGGAGAGAATGGTACAATGGCTTCTGTTAATATTCTGTTACATTTATAATAAAAGGAACATAATGTTTTAATGTCTTTTTTCAGAAAGAGCTGAGATGGATTCTTCGGTTTATCCCCTTTATGTTGAACTAAAGATTATTTTCTAGCTGTACTGAAAGTATGTTAACGTTTTAGCCCAAGGCAACATGGTTTCCCCTCAGTTCCTATCTTGGAAAGTTTATCAGAAAAACATTTTAAAATTCACTGAAAATCTGAGAAAATTGAAACAGAAGTGTGCAGCATTACAATTCATGAGTGGTATTTATGATTTGTAATAAAACACAGAATCAGATATACATACTGAGTTGCTGCTGTTCAAAATCTTAATGTAGCTGCAACATTAGGATGCAAGAGTTGTCGTAGATCATCACAAACAGCACTTTCCCTTAGGTGGTTTGTGTGTCCAGGTAATGCTTTCATTAAAATGTTGGCTACTGCGTTTCAGAATATGACCTGTTTTCCTGCTCTAGATGCAGTTTCAGATCTTCCCCATATTTCTTCTGGGGAGGCAACTGTATTTAGTCACCAGAGAGGTTTTATAGAATCGTAGAATAGTTAGGGTTGGAAAGAACCTTAAGATCATTATACCGTGCTATTTGTTTTCTACCATTTTTAATCAAAGCACTGTTCTACAGAATGTTTCATGAGATTATATATTGTTCATTTTGCCTGCTGCTAAACTTGCTTCCATGTAATGCTCATTCTTGGGGTCTGAGATTAATACATTTTCATATAGATATATTTTGGATATATAGTTCTGTCAGTGTCAGATTCTGACCATTTCTCAAACAACAACATATTGTGTTGTTTTAAAGGGTAAATTTTTGTACTTGCTAAACCACCCAGTCTAGGTAAGAGGGGAAGTGGAAATAAGTCTCCTGTCCCAAGGAACAAGGGATAGGACAAGAGGAAACAGCCTCGAGCAGCACCAGGAGAGGTTTAGGCTGGATATTAGAAACAATTCCTTCCCCCAGGCGTTGAAACAGGCTGCCCAGGGCAGTGGTGGAGTCACTATCCCTGGAAGCATTCCCAAACTGTGTAGATAAGGCCTTAGTGACATGGCTTAGTGGTGGGCTTGGCAGTGCTGGGGAATGGTTGGAGTTGATGATCTTGAAGGTCTTTTCCAACCTGGTTGATTCCATGACTCCAAATTAGAAATTTTGATTACATTATACAACAGGAATTTAGGCTTTGCACTTGTTGTTTTAAAATAATAAATAAATCCCCTTGCAAAGAACATATTTACTGTTTATTAGAGTCGTGTATGACCAGCTGTTCTGTTCGATACGCTCACCAGTAATAGTGAAGCAAAGCTGACAACTATAAAATTTATTTACTCTTCAATGTGAAAGTCAAAACCTGAGAGACCTCAGGAGATTGAGTGATCCAAGATATTTGGAACTGTTTCATTATCCTTCTTTGTGTAATTTAGGCTTTATGGGTGTTTTTATTCAGGGGGCAGTACTAGCAGCTGTGTCAAGCCACAAATTCAACTCCTTCTATGGTGACCCCCCTGAAGAGCTGCCAGACTTCTCTGAAGACCCCACCTCCTCAGGTATTGTAACAGAGAGTATATTTACTGCAGTCAACCTGTTTTAATGCTATACTGACTGAGTGCCAAGTATTTAATAATTTCTCATGATTTTGTAAAGTTGCATATTAAGTTAACACTTAAATGTGAAAGCATGAAGAGTGCTAGTGACTGGAGAAAATGAAGATAAAATCTCTGCACAGTTGTAAGTTTCTACAGAAATCTGTCTGATTTTTTAATTTGTTTTATGTACATTTAATTACAAATGGTGCTATAACCTCATATTTCTCTTTATATTACTTGAGTGTAAAAACTTATTGAAATTTTGTCTTGAATCAGGGGCAAGGAGCAAGGGCAGTATCAAGGTTCTCATACCTTACTAGTAGTTGTTTCTAGAGAGAAAATATTGTGTACTAGAGTTTCTTGACCTCCTGTTTTGGAGGATAGTATGAATTAAGATGTCTCCTCTTTGGAATACATTGAACAGTATTTCTGATAGTATAACTCAGATCTTCAGAGAGAGACAATACCTGTGCTTCAGGGACCTCCCAACATACTTCAAAGGAGAAGACATATACCTTTGCTGTGCTCTGAGCACATAGCTACACCTTGGGCAGAATGGTGATCTTACTCCAAGTAATCCTTTCGTCCAGAAATTCAAATAACCCAGCAATCCCTATACTAACACAGCCCTATCATAGTTAGGTATCATAATTCCGATCTAATGTTACTCATGATGTTTGCAGTGCAAAAGTCTGTGTGTTCTATCTGACCTAAAATTAGGATTTAGGATCAGGTTAAATGAACCTTTAAGAAAAACCTAAAGCAAATTGGACTCTCTTATTTTCCTAAACTGAATGGTACTGGCAGAATATTTATTGTATACATCAACTTTACTGGAAGACATTTCAAGAACTTAATTACAGGTGCTGAACTACTGTGTGATGATTCTTTTCCCCAATACTTTAATAGGTGATAAAATTACTGATTGGCTGCATATGTTAAGTGTTACTTTTTTGCTTTTTCATATAAGCAAGTAATTTTCATAAATTATTTCAATGTCATTAATGTAGGAAGTGGGGGCAATTTTTTTGGTTGAAATTCTTAAATTTCATTTCTTGGAATTCAATTAAATCACTTCATCTTTAGAGGTGCACACTGCTCATCATTTCTGCAGAAGTGAACGGGAATCTCAGATCATTTATTAAAAATGAGTAATAACAGCCTCATGGCGTAACTTCAGGCAGCTAGCTCTTGAATACTTGATGTACTTGTAAGTAAGTATCTGTATATTCTTTAAAGAAAGAATAAGTCTGTTTTACTTCACCCAGAATTACTTGCAGTTCTTTAATTCTTGTTTCAGTTACTTCCCCCATTTCAATAAAACAAACAGGCCACCAGCGTGATTGGTAGTAGCAACTTTCCTAATCTGAAAGCTGCAGTTCCTCTTTCCAGTTTCAGTCTCGCCTCAACAAGGCATGTGTCTTCCTCATATAGTGATGTAATTGCAGATATCAGTATATAACAAAGGTACAAGTTCTATTGTTTTCTGCTCACAGAAAATATGAATCCACTACTTATGTAAATTCTATGAAATATCTATTCTGGATCCATTATTATGTTCTGTTCATCTCTGAAATAACTGAAACAATAGCTTGGATTTCTCAGGAAAGCGTAGCTGTTCCTAGAATAACATTGTTGATCTCACTGATGGGAGATCACAGTGATCAGGAAATCATACTAAGTGAGTAGTTTTCATGATGTGTCCCTGACTGACTACATTAGCTGATAAAATATTTAATATCACGGGATAAACACTAATAAACACTGCAACTTTCAGCTTCTGAAATTGCTAGATATGGAAATTGATCCTCTTCAGAAGAACACTAATAAAGTTTTCAAATATTTTTAGCTTGTAAAGATAGACTCTTGTAATGATTCTAAACTGAGCTACTTTATAGATATTACACATAAAACTCTTGAATTGCCGTAAAAACTTGGCTATCTTAAAGGTTATTTAAGTCTCCTTCCTAACAGCTCATAATGCTATTCCAGACCGTAAACTCTAATGAAGAGCATTTAATATTTTAAATGTTGCAGCCTATTTAATCCTCCCATAAAATTTCATGGAGCTTATAATTGAATTTAAAGGAGTTGTCAGAAATGGGCAAATGTGGAACTCCTACCAAGATAAAGATGTAAAAATATAAATGCTTATTGGGTTATGCAAATTGTATATCCTGTCCTCCTCCAGGTCTTTCTAAACACAGAAACAAAAAAAAAATTAGTTCTTTCCTTTTGCTGGATCAATCTAGAGATGTTCTTCCTCAGAGTTCAGTGAACCTGGGACTGCTGGAACCTTCGAGCATCTTCCTATATTACCAGACAGCCTGGGTTATGAAGGCATTATAGGTAGCAAGTCAGGTGACTTTTTTAGATGTAGAATCACAAAAGATATTCTTGTTAGAGAGCTTTCCAATGAGGGTCAGCAAACTGTATAACTAAATTAGATGGCAATGAACACAGATAAATTTCGTATGAAGTCAACCAGGTATTTTTCTGTACACATCTTCCTTTCATTCATAGAATGTATTAATAATTATGGGTTTCCACAGCTTGTTCTGGGTGATCTATTTCCTCTTTAGTCAGTAGCTGTCCTCAGAAAGACTAGACTTTACCCACTATCATTCTGTTGGTAACAAGGCAGAAGGTCAGCCTCACTAAATTTTGAGAAAGTATGGCAAAGACTTTTAAAATGTTTTGAAAAATTGAGTAAATATTTTTAAGCTAAAACAATATTACTTTGCTGCTGATAGGCTGTGTTCAGTAACCTCTTCAGTAAAGCCACTGAACAGCTCAAATGACACACATCTTGCAAATATTTTTTTGCTAGAATGTAAAACATTTTACTTCCAGGTTGCGTGTCCTCAAGTCATTGTAAATGTCAATTTCCCAAGTTAGTGAATGTTTTGGATATTTTTAATATGCTGTAACAAACATATAGCAATCAGCAGCCCTAACGGCGAAATCTGACACATAAGAAAAATTGGCCCTGTAGAGAGTATTGGAAGTGGACCGTTAAATTAATTAGGTTCCAGAGAAATTACAGTCAGTTCGCTCTCTGCTGCACTTCTCCATCCAACTCCCTTCTCTCTCCCCGGCCCTCCCTGGCTCTCCTATCACCTTATTGCAAATTAGATTAAGATAGAGAATTTCCTCTGCTTATGTCAAATGCTGACCATTTGTTGCCTTACAGGGAGTACAGAAGCATAATTTTCAAGTGTTTTAACAAAAGGCTAAAGAGCGAACATCACCAGTGTAAAGCTTTTCACTTCTCCTCCTTCTGCTTTTTCAGCTTCCCCATTCTGCAGAGCCCAAGAAAAGGCTGTGGAATTGTTTTGCATTTTGACTTGGGAAGCTGAATTCAGGAAGTCCATTCAGTTTACTTTGGAGTTTTAAGTAGAATTATGATGTTTAAGTTTTTAGACCAACAGTTAGAAAAGCCCATAAATTGAAGAGGGTGTTTATAACTTTGTATTTCCAAAAACTGTTTTGTAGCCACCTTTTAGAACCACTGAGTCAGTGTTGGATTTAAGCCAGTCAATAGCCCATAGACTTTGGAAAACTGCAGAACTGTTTTTTAGATTAAAGCAAACCTTACTTTTTGCGTGAAGGACTTTCCTCTATAATGCCTGCTTGAATTGCTTGGTTTATACTGCTCATATTCTGAAATGCGACTAACAAGTTTCAGAGTGGCTTTTTGCTGCAAAAAGACCTAGATTCCTGTAAGGCATCTTGTAATGCTGTATTTCAGTTTAACCACAAAGAAGGTACAGCAGCATATTTTATAACACACTGACTGACCAAGTGTACTTACTTAGTGCAGGCTAACAAATAGCACTTCCTAAACATTTCTGTGATTTCTGAGCTCTGTGGTAACAGTAAAGGTGATAAACATAGAAGCAGTGCTTTTGCACTGCACAGTGGGCAAGCACTTTAAGTGTACATTAGTGTTTCTAGCTTGTTTTCTCAACTGCAAGGCATAAATTTCATGTGGCGTTTTTACAAATGCATTTTGATATTTTGTCTCAGGATTGCTGTAAATTAAAATTTTCATTCTTTTAATTTGTTCTACTGTTGTCGTATCGAATTAGGAAATTTTAGCAGTATGAGATCTTGATTTTCAAATTTGAAAGTAACGGCAATGGGGGAAAAGCTGAATCAAAGAGCATTTCAGAGTGAGATCAAATAGCAAATGTATGGCCAAGTTGTTTAATATACATTAAACTAGCTTAATGCATAAGTTAGTGACTGCTTAGTAGTTTTATGGGATTTAGATTTCATGAAAAACGGGCAATATAAGTCCATATCTTAAAAACTATCAGTCTCGTTGACACAAGAAAGAAAAGGAAATCCTGTTGTTATGAAAAACTTTCTACTTATTTTGTAAATAGTTGCAAGGGGCCTTGTGTAACATTTTTAAGCATGACTTCTTTGGGGGAGGGAGGGAAATCATTTACCTTATAATTTACTGTTATTAATTCCTTATTTAGTATTACAGGTATAACTGACAGGTTTGACAGGTTTGAATCATAAATTTGAGTGTTTCTGATATCCCACTATTATCTCTATAATTTTTCAGCTGTTATATCTTCTGGTTCTGGTATGTTTAGATACAAAACCTTTTAAGTATATAAAGTCATTATTAATTAAAACCAGTAGTAAAGTGGTTGTGTTTCTACATGATTCTCATATTGGTTCTCACTGAAACTTTGGTAAAAATAACTTCAATATAATATTGCTAAATTCTAGTTAGTAAATATTAGTAAATTAGTACGATGTTATGCTTCATTTACAGTATGTTGAATTAGTTTTTCTATTCACGTTTTATGATAATCTTACTTGAAATAATTTTTTGTTCATGAGTTTTTTAAAATAGTTTAACCAGTGTTGGAAAAAGTCTAGTATTACAGATACCTAGCACTGTGTACATGTGCTACCTTCCCAATGCCAAGCGTTTGTTTTCCTCCCATCCCAGCCTGCAAGTCCCATTTGCTTCAGACATAGAAACCGTATTAAAAAAAGGGGGGGGGCGGGGGGGGGTCCTTGTCACTTTGTTCATACTGTTTTGTGGCTAAAATAGTGTGCTAGGTTGCAGCTTTATAAATCGCTTGTTCTGAAATCTTCATACTGTTTGTTGTTTGTCCAAATGCTGCCTTCCTACTAGGACTTCTAGCAGCAGAAAGTAGGTATCCCTTTGTTTTCCTTTAAGGCATATCATTCAGCTATGGTGTATGTCTTTGCATGTTTAAAAACCAGCTTTCTTCTCTTTGCTATTTTCAGTTTTAATACTGCCTGTTCAAGAAAAATAGCCTGTACATTTTTGACTAAATCTTTCTATAATTTTGAAAGCATAATTAACCAGGAGCAATATGTTTTCCAAGGAATTCCGAAGATTCTAGTTTAGAGGCAGTATTAAAATTACCTGGGTTTTTTGTTTTCAATATCTGCAACGCAACTGAAATAAAATTTATTTTTTATCAAATTAATAAAGGATAAAATGATGTGGGTTTGCATTTTAGTTCCAAAATTAGTGTTTTCCTGGACTAATGGGCTTTTTTGTCCTAACACTGAACATATACTGTAATATTAGTCATACATTCTTTCTTGCTATCCCCTTTCTTGCATGAACATTCTTGACCATTCTGTGTTGATGTGATACACGATATATGCATATACATTTTGTATATGCATTTATATTTGTATATACATTTTATATATACATTTGTGTATACATTTTGCATATGAATACACCTGATTTAATTATATAGTATATGTCTTCTCAGTGAAGGAATATTACTTACATGTAGGGAAGAGGTTTTGCTGCAAGTTAGCTGCACTTTTCATGAAAGATTGAAAATGCAAACACTTCTAATATCTACAGAGTAGACAGAGGAGAAGGTGTGACATTCTAGACCCTTTGACACAAACCACAACCATTTCGAAAACAATTTCAGTGTCTCAAAATACAAGCTGTAAAAGCTGGGGGGTCTCTTGCATCTTTTTAAGAGTTATAAGCTAACAGTTCTTTCATTCTAGGTCAGGGCAGCACAACAGATGTTCATGATCCATCTCTGGTCTAAGTCATGGATTGTTGTTTGGTTCATTCTTTTGATGTTACAGGTTGTGGGGATGTTGTTCCTTATCTGCCTGTATCCCTGTCTCAGAATGCTTGCCCAAGCTGAGCTCCTGCACAAGAGCTGCTGCGATGCCCTGTCCCTGGAAATGTTCAAGGCCAGGCTGGATGGGGCTTTGAGCAACCTGGTTTAGTGAAAGGTGTCTCTGCCCATGGCAGGGGCTTGGAACTAGGGCATCTCTAAGGTCCCTTAAAACTCAAACCATTCTGTGACTGTGTATATGGGAAGCATGTATCTCCCACCTTATTTTGAGCTATTATATGCATATAAATACATAGACATGCACACTCATGCTTTGGCTGTCATCTGTCCTTACAGAGATAGTTGCTCTGGAATGTAGCAAACAGCAAAGAGCAACAAATTACTGTGTGAGGTTGGAGGCATCTTGGCTCCAGTGATTTTTGCAGATGTGGTTTAAAGTGATGAAGAGATCTGGTACTCAGTTAGCTTTCTCTTAATCTAAAAAGTTACATCAGCACAAGTAGTGGAAAGGTCCCACCTCTGTAAAAGATTCTTTTCTTGCCCTTAATGGAAACAGTGTATGTTTCGTAAATTCTTTACAGAATAAACAGGCAATAGTGGTGTTCTATCTTACACATTTTTAAGTGGACTCCTGTCGACTACTACTAAGACAAACCAGGCCTAAAGTGAACAGTTTAAAATATGTATGGCATTGTGATTTGCAAACCTCAGCAGACAGATACTTCATCATTTCCACAGCATTTTGGTATAATGCTTAATTACCTAATTGTGTAAAATATATATGTCTTGTGGTTTTAGGCTGTCATACTCAGATGCCAGCAAAACAAAACTACTGGAAGCACTCATACAGTTATCACTAAATAGTCATTTAAAGATGTAAGTTTCTGAGGTCTTGAAGCAGAAGCAATGAATCTTTGTTTTGTCATACATGAAAAATGAAAATTAAATCCATGAAACTTGAATCTCACATTACAAAGCTGGTGAAACTTACCTCATTCTCACTTCACCAGATGTGCTTTATCAGAATCTTACAATATTTATAAAATACTTTTTTCCTAAAAATAACTGCACTTTATAATAATGCCCATTTTGGTTTTATGAGATTGTATCCAGTGACTTCATTTAGTGATTCTAATTTTTTATTTCTCTAAAATGTAACCATTTCTGACATTTTTTCTTCTGTCCTTGTTGTATGTGCTAGCCTCAGACATCTTCACAGAGTGAAATGTAAATCCTGCCTTCCAAAATGCCTGTACTCTGAGAGCCAGGATTGGTTTTTAATTTCATTTACAGCAGCTGCACAAGAAGGCAACCAAGAGATGAAGTTGGGAAAATCAGGTTATGTTGATTGTGGATTGACTGGTGTAAGGATTGGATTACAATATACAGAGAAATTGCAAATAACTGCTAAGCTTTGGTTAGTCATTTAAAAAACACTGTAAATCTTCAAGGCATAGTTACTTACCTATTTATACAGCATAAAGAACAGTTGAAAAGCCAATCCAAATTCAGGTGGCTTATAAGAATGAGCAGGTTTAAAATGACTGGTTGGTGTCAGGAACTTAATTTTATACAGTTCCTCAAATCTAAGGGATTTAGAGACAATCAGTCTTTCTTTAATAAAAATATACTATTATTATAATGGTTGTCATAAGGTCTTCTACAGAGTCATTTCCTGGATTACTAATTGCAGGAGACTTGCAAAAAGGTCACAGTTTTATAGCTTTGTTTTTAAATAAGGTCAGGCCTCCTGTAACAAGTTTTCATTTCTCAGAAGTTGTATGACCAACCAAGAATTAAATGGGCATTTGTAATCCTTGGTATTAAAAAAAAAAAAAAGGCAAATAATTATTTTACCCTCTTTGAAGGTATTTGTAGTCAGAATGTAGTCTTTGTATTCTGTAGCGTGATCTAAGTCTTTTTACCCAAACAGTCTTTTAGTCATGCATTGTCGCAGATCACTGCTGCCTGAAAAGAAGCTAACTAATTCTCTATACTACCTGCTCCATGACAGAAGAAGTCAGTTGTACCTGCCTGGCTTGCTGAGCCTTGGAAAAGCAACCTTTTGGGGTGCTTTATGGTGTTTTATGGTGGAGACATACTACTGTTGTAGAATATGTAGGCAATTCTTAAAACAATATTTTAAAGATTTCTTCTCTTCTTTCTCTTGTGGGGAAGAAGTAAGCAACTCCTACTGACCTCTAAAGTTCAGTTTCTGTAGCCAAACCACCTGTTCCAGGTTAGAATAGCTAAATGCCAGGATGTAATAACAGCACTTTATTTCACCAAAGCTTTATCTGCTTACACCTTGATGAGCCAGTGTCCATATCAACCTCAGATGGTATTAAGGGCACTGTATGAGAACTAGAATTCAGCTTTAAGAGAGAACTGTTTCTGAATTGCGCTCTCCATAAATGAGTGAACAGAACCTACAGGAAAATAACTGTGATAACTTTGACTATGCACCAGGTGAAGAAATAATCCCAAATTACTGCCTTTTAAAACAAATATGTCAAACTGGCAAATAATAGAACTGCTTTAGTAGGCAGAAAGCTACTCAGTTCATCTCCATCTTCTTAGAAGCAATTTGGTATCACATTAAAAAAGTCATTCCACTAACTATAAAAACATATCATGTATCAGTACTGACTTCAGAAGTGTCATAAGCATTCTGACTTTTTTTTACTATAGTGAGAACACATAGGTTTAAACTTTTCAGACTTGTCAGCCCCAAGGAAACTGTGAATAGTTGCAGCCATCCTTTCTTAGGCAGTCTTACAGGAATACAAGAATATCACTGCTCATTTGCACCCTGAGAACATATATGCATTTACAGTAGGATCTCACAGAACTGTGTTTGGTGCTGATTTTGTTACTATTACTGTGGAGAAAAGTTTTCTGTCTCTATCACTGGAATTACAACCTTTCCTTCGCAATCATATGTATATATTTTTATAGTAACTTAAGGCGTAGGGTGAGATTCATGTCACCTTAGTGGTTGGGGCTGATTGAAAGTTCTGGGAAGTAAGCAACATTTTCTCTCAGTTTACTTTAGAGAAGTCTGAGCTTTTAGATTGTACGGCTATATAATAGCTCATTTAAGTCCTTCTTTTATCATCTATGCTGAGGCTAAAATGGGTGCATTGGTGAAAGACATTAAATCCTATTTCTAGAGGATACAAGCTTTAATTATAAATATTGAGTGCTTTTACACTTTCCCCAAAGGTTAGAAGTTTAACTTCAATGTGATAGAATATGAGTCTTTTTAGGGGCAGGTGTACTGTAAGGGTTGCTTAGTTTTATTTTGTATAGTCTTTTATCTGAATTTTAAACTCTTCTGAAAAGTACTCCTAGGCTTTTAACCAGATGTTTGTAACAGAGAGAATTTAGGTGTTCACAGAAATGCCTGTAGAATTGTTCTGTCACTATTTTATGCAATAACAGGCTGTGAGTATATTGCTACTATGCCATTTTCTCATGTAAGTTCATTTGTAAAAGCATAACAGACATGGCAGTAGGTACAGCATAAGATCTTAGGTAAAAAAACTATAAGATAGAACTGTGATTCTGAGAGACTTGCAAAGTCACTGTCAGAACTTCACATCAAATTTATTGAGTATATTTTTGGAAACTTTCTTTTACAGCTGTCTATTCAGTGCAACCAATGGACAGGAGAAAAAATACCTAATGAGCAAAGCTTAATGTTTTGGAATTCCCAGACATTCAAAAGGTTGTTGAGATGCAAATATTTAAAAAAAAAAAAAAAAAAAGTAATGTTGATTTCTATTTGAAAGGCCCAAAATAGAATTCCCAAAGTAATATTGTTAACTAGATAATGCAATGATCCAGAGCAGAGTGATGGTCCGTTCAGTGTTTCACAATAATACAGCACTAGAGACAACTTTGAACATGCTTCTCATTGCTTCTGGTTTTGGCTCATGTTTTGGTGGTTATAAGCAACATTGAGCAGTATTAGAGATTTAAGATAGCCAAGCCTTAAGATATCTGACTGTTCTCTTGAGTTTTCCTTAAACACTTCAAATTCACTTTGAAAGGGGTTTGAACCCAGGAAGAAAAGTTGTGTTAGAAAAGAAAATAATTGATTTGAACTCTGAGCATGACAAGAACAGAAAGAGAATTGTAACAAATTTCCTTCCACTAACTCCATCCTGGAAAGTCAGGCACTTTCCTTCAGGCTTGAAAATCTCTGAGTTCATCAGCCTTTAAATGGCATACTGAAAATGTTTTAAAGGAACTCAGTACAGTCCCTTTTGAGTCCCTAGGTAGCGTTTTCCTTCTTTGCCTTTAAGGCTTAGCTCTGATGTCTCCGTGCTAAGCCAGCAGATTCCCAGACCCTGTATTTTCTCAGGTTTCCTGCTGTGTTTCCCAGTGTGGAAGCTGTAGCTCAGGCAGAATAATATGGACAGTTTCTTTCAGCTAAGTATGCTTATTCGTTATCAAAGAGAAGTTTGTTCTCTTCAGTGCACCTGACTCATGCGTAGCAGCTACAATAAGACAAAACATTAGTTTTATTTGCTGTACAGCCACCACTTTAAAGGAATGTAACTTAAACTAATGCATCAGTTGGAAATAAGTAGTCAGACACATTCAATGGGAGAAGACTAACGCTTCTTGCTCCTGAGCTGTGAGTTGTGGGTAGAATACTGTAGTTCTTAACCTGGGTGTGCAAGGAATGGTAAGGAGAATCCTAGGTTGAGACTTGCACTAAATGTGATGTAAGTTTCTAGACTTGTAACTTACTCATCCAGCTATGAGGTCACAAGCCTTATATAGTAGGGTTTGTGTATTTTGTTATGTTTATTCCAGTTTTTCAAAGTTTTCAGAGAAATAATTAAATTTGTTTCCTTGTGTAATTAAGAGAAGGTTAGGTTTTTGTTTTTATTACATTCTGAAAATGCAATACATTATAAAAGGGGTTGTGTTAAGGAAGGCTGGTAAGTATTGTTCATATAGTGAAGAATGGAATTTCAAGAAATACGGCAGTTTTCAGATATTATCTGTCCTGACAATGAATAAGTAAACAAACTAAGCGTATTAAGGACAAATTAGTGAAATACAGAATGCGTAGAATTCTGTATTCTGAATTAGAATTCATGTATGAAGAAACATTCACTGTCAGACACCACCAGTTTAGACTAGCACTGGATACGCTAACATCTTTCCAGATGCTTATACCACTGTGGAAAAACTGAAGACAAGGGCTGTGCTTAGATAAGCCAAAATTACTGTTCTAGTAATGCATGCAAGTGGCAGCCACCACTGATACCTGATTTTCAAAACAAGTTGTTCCAAAAGGAACCAACATGGGCTGGTTTACTATGGATTTGTGTTGTGTTTCTGTGTCCTCCCCTGCTGTGAATTCAACTGTCCTCAAGGACTTCCACCTTCCATAATGCCTCCTGTTTCTCCTTTCTGTCCCCATATCTCTTGCTTCTCTTTTCACCCTTACACCATATAAAAATCATGCCCACCTTTCTATGACCCAAAACAATCACTGGTCAAAAGGCAGCAAGTGCTGGGTCTGAGATAACCAGGCAAGCAGAACAAACAGAACAAAAAAAGGGGCTCATGTTACAGACTTTTTTACCTTCTCTGGAGGACGGAGCAGTCAGCTCTTTCTCTCTCTTCCCTCCTCTACCCAGATGCTGATTTTAAAAGATTTTGTGCGAGCATTGGTTCTTTCAAAGTTTTAATGATTTGGAATATGTATTCGAGGTTGGTCAGCAGTGAAAAAGGAGAAGGTTGGGGTGAGAACGATGAGAATAGGCAGATAACTGAAGTAACTTAATAAGACATTCGAAACCATGGTAAAAGAGGGCAAAGTGAAGCTTAATAAAAACAGGCTTTAACCTCTTTTCAGTTAAACCATTTCTTATGTATAATTGCACTATATATGGGCACTGTTGATATGCATAAAGTTTCTTCAGTGAATTTTCCTGTAGAAACGCCAGCTTTTTGAAGTTCCTGTTCCAGTTATACCAGATGAAGTGAAAGTTTCCCTATCCAAAGTTCAGTTTACCGTGAGTCTTTGCTTTATTGATTTTTATTCTTTCTTTTTTCCTGCTTATTGCCCCATAGGAGCAGTCTCACAGGTGCTGGATAGCCTGGAAGAAATTCATGCACTTACAGACTGCAGCGAAAAAGACTTAGATTTTCTTCACAGTGTTTTCCAGGATCAGCATCTTCACACGCTACTAGATGTAAGTTTTCTGTGCTAAGCAGTTTGAATGTGCTTCTGTATCTTGCTCGTGTATTTTGAGGGCTTTTGCTTTATACTAGTGTCATTTAGTGTCATTTGAGAGGAAATATGCTCTGCCAACACTGTACAATGAAAACCAAAAATGGGTGATGGGCATAATCAGAAGATACATTTCAAAAATGCACTCCTGAATCAAAACCAAAATGCTCATGTGACCATACAGATGATGGCTGTTTTATTACCAAATGTAACAGCTTGGATACCTCAGTGAATATCACAAATCTAACAAAATGTCTATGCTTTTTACCCAGTGGAAGACACCCAGCTATCTGATCTGCAGGTAGACAATTATGGTTGTAGAAACTTAAGAGTTTCTGAAAAATTGGTGAATGCTTTAGTTCCTATATGCAGCCTTGTAGGGGTATGATGTGGATGTAAATGGTGCCATAGTTCCCCTGGTGCCCAAACTCTTTAAAATGTAGTAGGTGACTTGTACGCTTCTTACACTTTGTGTAGTGATTAGTGAATAGTGGGCCACCTGGATTCTGTGCATCCTTCAAGTTTAATGGATTCAAATCCTCACACACTTCTTTCCAGAAGAGGACCCAGCTGCAGGGTTCTGAACTGGCCTGTATGGGAAGATAAGCTTTCTAGTGAAGCTTCCCCACGATGTAGCTCTATGACTCAAAGAACCATAGATAGTTACCTGTTAAGTGATGAGTGCATTGCTTTGGCACAAGACTCTACAGTTCTAATCTTTGTTCTTGATAACCGTTTATGCATTTTACATTAAATACTCATTGGATAAAATTATATGAAGCATGCAGGAAGAAGGGATTAGGAGCTCATGATTTTCCTTAATTGCATCTCCAACAAGTCATCTTTTTTCTTTTTTGCTCCCAGTAAGTTCATCTAGCTTGTGTTCCAAATGCCTACATTGCTCTGTCTTTTTATATCACAAACTGCGGTATGGGAAGATGATCAGATAATATGAATGAGAAATAAAAACCTGGACAGGAAGAGATTAACATGAGTCTAATAATAAGAACCAAAACAGTTGTGTCACTCATGTAGAAAGGTTTTAGGTATTTATTAACCATTCTTCTATGAGGAAAGACTGAGAGAGCTGGGATTGTTCAGCCTGGAGAAGACTCCAGGGAGATCTTATTTGCAGCCATTCAGTTCTTGAAAGAGGCCTATAAGAAAGAGTGGGAGAGACATTTTAGCAGGGTTTGTTGAGATAGGATGAGGGGTAATGATTTTAAACTAAAAGAGGGAAGATTCAGGCCAGGTGTGAGGAAAAACAAATTCACAATGAGGGTAGTAAAATACTGGAACAGGTTGTACAGAGAGGTGGTGGATATGTCACGCCTGGAGACATTCAAGGCCAGGCTGGATGTGGTTCTAGAGAACCTGATCTAGCTAAAAATGTCCCTGCTCATTGCAGGGGTTTGGAGTAGATGACCTTCGAAGGTCCCTTTCAACCCAAACTATGATTCTGTGTTGTCATATAACTTCTTGGGCTTTGATAAATCAAATGGCTTTTGTTTAGGCATTTTGGTCTATGATAGGTCTACCAGACATTAGCTCATGCTTCTGTAATGCTTTTACTTTTTCCTGTTCTTCACAATACCAGTCTGGTTCATAGTACTTCACTAATGATCTGTTATTTCTGTAATGATCTGCCATACCCTTTTAAACAAGAAAAAAATGGAATGAATTCATATCATTTTGCCATTCTTATATTTAAAAGTCATAGTCATTCTCTTAGACAGAAACAGATGCATGTAAATGCACACTATAATAATATATTTGTGAGAACAAAATGCTATCAAAAAGCAGTTTTGTTCTGCTGTGTGAAAGGGGAATGATAGAATTGCATTGATACTATTCCAGTTTCTATTTGAGCTCTGAAAAAATCATCAGTTGTACTTGGATGTTCTGTCAGGGAAACTCTTTACCTCTCTTGCATTATTTGGGGTTAATGAGGCCATCAAAACAAGTCACCTGTAAAGCATTATATACCACTAAGTAGGAATTTTCTAAGCTCTTGTGAAGTTGTGGCTGTCTCTTTCCATTAAAACTACTGTTCCTTTTCCTTGGCCTTTTTCCACAGTTAAATTTGTTCTCTTGTTCCTACTCTTTCTCAAGAGTTATCCTTATTTTTAGATTAGGCACATGATGCTAGATCACTCCTGTGGCTGAAAATACCTTCTTTTGCTTCTGAGCTAACTCTTTTTCAGAAAGAAGGAAAAAAAAATAAGGAAAGGTCTACCTTTGTGTTAAAGAGTGCAGGTTACCCACGTTGTTTTTTTAATATAGGTCACAAAGTGGAAGTCTTCTTTCTCAGTAATTCATTAACTTCAATGTTATGAGAACAGAGGTGCCCCTGAAGGCCATAGAAGCAGCAGTCCTGTCATCCCATCGATTGGTTTTAATTGATTCATTTCTGTATGTCTGTTTAGATACCTGTCTCATGACTCTCTTCCACTCTACATGGGTGCCAAAGCTTTTCAAAACAAGGGGGGAAAAGGTGCCAACTACTTACAAGTAATTCATATTTGCTACAGGCCAAATCCTTCAATACACCAGCAATTCCTGATGTGGGCTTACTGAATAGGTTAATTTTGTGGGGGTTTCTTAATTTCATTTTTGTTAAATAATTTTACAGAATCCCTGTATTCTTTCAGTGTTTTATTCCTATACAAAAGTTGTACAATTCATTACTAAAAACATCGTTTTGTTTGCTGGGGAGAGTAAAGAAAAGGGCCTTCAAGAAACAACCATTTATAAATATTCATTACCTAAAAATAAATGCTTAATAATTGATGTTTCTTATAAAGAAAAAGTGTAACTTTGGTTTGGACATTTTTTTTTATTTTTTTTCTTTCTGTTAGAAATGTCATGATCAAAATTTTGGTGAACACTGTAGGACATTCCTGTCTGTGACACAGGACTGTCGTTAACTATGTAAATCTTTACAGATGGTTTCATTCTGGTATCCTGTTTAGATTATAAAGAAGGTAATAACATTAAGTAAAGGATATAAATATGGAAAAAGAGTTAAATTTCAGTAGTTAAGCAGGTTTAATTACCACTGACAGATTTTTAGAAGTCCTACCAAATGCTTGAATTAAGATTTTCTTTTTTTTATTGACATTCATGAAAGAGATCCTGGAGGCAGTGTTATCTTGTGTTAGCAGTACTGATAAAGAAGTTGAAAATGAATGTGAAGAGGTTATTGATTCTGGAGGTATTTGTGTTTAGGTGTTTTCTGTATTATGACACAAGATTTTACTTTAATTATTTGTTTTGAAAAGTATACTGGCTTCAAGACCGTGCCTAACGAAGAAGATCTTTACAGATTATGCTTTATCTCTGACAATGCATCAAAGGAAGCAAGGTTTGCTAAAAAGTAAAACCAGAAGCTGCTATTTTATGCAGCTCCCTACACTGAAGGAGACAAGAGAAATCATCCTCCTGTTGAGTCAAGTAGTTTGGTCACCTCTTTAGGGACACTTTCTGTGAGTGATTCTGAATGCAGATGTCGTTCGATTTACAAGTGAGATTTTCACTCGGCAGGAGAACAATATCGGCTTTTGTGTGACTGGGGCCTCCCTATGCTACTGGCTTTGTCTGTGTCTGCCTGTCCTAAGTCAGATAGTTCTCTAGCCTGGTATCTTTTGGCTCTTAATTTAAGAAGTTTGTTACATTACTGTCATAGATGGAATCGTGAAGGTAAGTGTTGTTATTTCTGAAAGTATGTCTGCGATGGAAGCATTATGAACTTTCTTAAAAGTTTCTTTTACCTCTTGCTGGCATAACACATTCCACATGTATGGTTTTAACTAAATGAGATTAAATAAATTTTGGAGTAGCTATATGTGTTTTATCTACAAGTGTAGCCACTTCCTTCCTTTAGAGTTTAATGTATATTCACAGCGTATACATTTAAGTTATAATGATTTTTAGAGAGACTTTTGTCTGTTATTGATTGCCGATAATGGTAATGTTTCAAAGGAACACGCGTCCATGCACACTCAGAGTTCCCTTAGTATTTCTTTTGAACTCAGTCATCCAAACAGATTTAGTCCTGAAGTCCAGACTTTTAAGGAAACATATTTTCTCTTTTGCTCGAATCAATGTTGTCTGGATCTCAGTTTAGCCTCTTACATGGTTGGCTAAATCTTTCTACTGGATTTATTTTGGTTTGTTCTGTTTACCCTCTCTATGTTGGATGTTGGCACAGTAAACTCGAACATCTTTTGTAAAAGTAGCAGTTATTCAGCGGTGTCTAGCCATCACTGATACTATAGTTCTCTATTTGAAAATGTTTTAAACACTTCTTACACTTATTCCCCGTTTGCTTTTTTCTGAACAAAGTGTATTGATTTAACAATTCTTTTATATACTTTGATAAAAAAACAAGAGACATTCTGATTTCTATTTTCAGGACATTTTCATTTTCTTCTTTTTTCATTTAAATCACAAATAGACTGGTGGAATATCAATCATATGATATAGAAAATAAATAAAACCAGCAACTCTGTATAAAAAGCTTAAAGATTTTAATGGGTCATCTATATTTTTCTATATTTTTATTTGAACAGTAATGGCTTTCTGTGTGACTCACATGGTATGGTTCAAGTTTTTCAGATGAACATTGGTCCATACCCTCTTGAATACTGATTATGTTAAAACTAATCAGCAGAACATGTTTTAGTGAAACATGAATGCATTTCTTTTGCAAAAACAGTTCAGAAAGTGTATGTGTGCTAGATGTCTTGGCTAAACTCCCTCAGAACATGTTATGCTTAATACTCCTTATTTTTAAGAAACCTTGTTTTCCTATTTTTTTTTATCCTGTAGAGATATGTTTGTAAGACAAAAGCAAATGGAAAATATTTATTAAAAAAATAATAATAAAAAAGCAGCTATGTTGGCAGAAAAGCACCTTGCTATTTGAGGAATCAAATCTGGCTTTTATCCCAGCCCAGCAGA